AAATTTGGTGTGAAGAACAGTGATTATTACCCAACCTTGTCGTTGATAGCTAAAGATTTCCTGGCACAACAAACGACAAGCGCCAAGTGAGAGAGTCTTTAGCAAGGCAGTAGACTTTTAGACAAAGGCGAAATAGGATGGCTTATATCTCAACTAATTATATATCATATTGTAAGTAAAAATATTCTCTAAAGGGCTATCAAAAAATAATAAAAATTGGCGCCAAATTGAGTCTTTAACATTCGGTTTACCTATAATGCTTTACCTGTATTTTTAAGCAAAAAGGGAGTTTGTTTTCAATGATATAATAAAATATATATTTATTAAATAATGTGATCAAGATTTCCATTAGTGTTGTTAAACGGCTATTTTTGAGCCGATTTTTAAAAACGGCTAAATCAATATTTTAACCCGAAAACAATTGTCTAAGCATCGAGTTTTCGATAATGTCTAAACCTTTGTGCCATCTATCCGGATCTGGACCTTGGGTCTGAACGCCGGGTCTGTGCTCGGGGTTCGTGCTCAGAGCTGGTTTTGTCGATATTTTATACCCAAACCCCGGGTCTGGGCTCTACACAACCAACCAATTAACAACACTACTTATGCAGGCAAAAATAATTTTTATGTAAATAGGAAAATATCAAGTGCAGAAAAGGCTAATTTTATGTAATATTAAAGAACTTTTCATTCACTTTAGAGAGACTCATAACGAAATACAGTTAGGTCTGAGTAGATTTGCTTTCTTACGACGTAAAAACTGTGTTTTAGCAGGTGGTCCAGGTATACACATACCATGTGTATCTGCACATTACATTAAAATTTTAAGCTTATTTTAATAGGTGGAAAATTTAAACAGCTAACAAACAATATTGGTCATTATAATTATCCTGTGTAAAAACAGAGCAAATAAATTAATTAATAATAACTAATATGAAATATTCGTCCTCTAGTCGACTCAATTTTATATTTCGTATTCATGGTGTCAAGTTGAAAGTCTACAGTAAATAAATGTAAAAAATAGATCACAAATATCTTAATTAATAAAATTTGAAATATTCGTCCTCTAGTCGACTCACGTTCATATAAGTATAACTTATCGTCCTCTAGTCGACTCAAGTATATAATTCCTATTTGCAACTAAAGTTGGAAGTCTAAAATAAAAAAAGTAATAAACAACAAATATCTTAATTAATAATAACTAATTTGAAATATTCGTCCTCTAGTCGAATCAAGTTCATAGAACTATTTGTCCTCTAGTTGACTAAAGTATATTATTCCTATTTAAATCTCAAGTTGGAAGTCTAAAATAAAAAAATGTAAAAAACAGAACAAATCTTAATTATTAATAATTAATTTGAAATATTCGTCCTCTAGTCGACGACTCAAGTTTATAAAAATATTCGTTCTCTAGTCGACTCAAGTATATAGACTTGAGTTCACGACTTGAGTCGACTTGAGTTCACGACTTAAGTCGACTTGAGTTCACGACTTGAGTTCACGACTTGAACGACTTGAGTTCACGACTTGAGTTCACGACTTGAGTCGACCTGAGTTCACGACTTGAGTCCTGAGTTCACGACTTGAGTCCCTGAGTTCACGACTCGAGTCGACTTGAGTTCACGACTCGAGTTCATAACTCAAGTCAGTTTGGGTCTATTTTTTCGACCCAAAACTTAGACTCAGTTTTCGACTAAGTCGACTCGACTCAGTCGAGTAACAACACTAAATTAAATAATATAATGTTGTACATAATTTTTATATTTTTTATATAATTAATGATTTTGCAAGAAATTTATTAAAAAAATTTGAAAAGAGATTTAAATGATATTTATATATATATATGATATTACAAATGCAAGAATTAATAAGTCATACTAGAAAATAAAACTAATTTAAAAAATACAAAAATATCACAAACAAGTAATGATAAATACTTATAAAATGAAAAAAATAAAACTAGTATTATTTTTTTTAGAGATGCCATTTAGCCATATACTCCGAATATAAGCTATATTTAAAACAACACAAAAAATAACCTGCAAATTCTAATAAATCATTTGATTTAATTTTTTTTCTTATTTGCACATTTTCAACTCCCATTAAATATAATACTCTCCCTTCCCTGTTTAGCTATTAATGGACAAAAATTAATATTAAAATCCTGGTTATTATAATTAATTCATCAATAAATATTTATTAATTATTATATGTGTAATACTATGTTCTTCACAAATAACTAATAAAAATTGTATTTTATAAACTATTCTAATTTAATTGGTAATGATAATTTGAAAGTATCTTGTATTTAAGATACTCTAATTTAGTAAAAGATACAAGTATCTTTTATATTGTATCTTTTTGATATTTTGAACAAGATACTAGTATCTGTATCTAAGATTCATTTTTTTATAAAGAATCTGTATCTGTATCTAGATTCTTTTTCCGGAGGACCTGCCCAACTTTGGGAACACCTTTGCAATAAGATTAACTAAAGAAATAATTTACTATAAAATCAAAATAAAATATGTGAAATACCAAAATTACTTTTATTGTTTTAAGTTTTGCAAAAATATCAGTATCTGCAACTAAGATCATTTTTTACAAGAATTTGAATATATATCTAGATTCTTTTTAGTATCAGGAAATTAACTTATACTTCCATATCATGAAAAAAAATAATTATGTGGCATATTGTTGATTAAAGTGTTAGAATTGAAACTCATATTATGAAAGCTCAAAATAAACAACATTTTTTATATTTTGTTCCCAATCAATTCTCACATCATAAAAAAATGTCATTTACCTATTTTTACAAATCTTTGGAACAAATTCTCATTTGAAATGAGCATATATTAAAAAATATAAACTTTAAACTAAACTTTAATTTATTTAATATAAATCAACTGAATATCTATAAAATATCAAAATAATCTTATAAAAAGTCATTTTTAAATATAATACATAATTGAAAGATAAAATGATTCTTGTTTAAATAATTATTGAGCGTCATAGCAAAGCAAGAATTTTTATATATTCCTTTATATGAGAAAAATGTCCTTCACATCTGATATCAGTAGATTTAAAAGAAATATGAAATAATTTTAATCAGCGCCTTTTAGCAAAATCTAAACTGGAAACTCTAAATATTTTTAGGACGCATGATAGAGATGTTTAAAATATACTTTATATATGTTATAGAATGGTAATCTTTATTTAATTTAATAGTTAATTTTCTCTTTTCCAAAAAATATTTATAAAAATAAATAAATATTTTCTTACTAAGTTTTACTAATTATGCAAAAGGGATTTACATTATAAAAAATTGAGAAAATAATTGGAAAATTAAATTATTTAATATCATTCTTTCAAACCTCCTTCATTAAATTGTCCAGCCTCTAACTGGGTGCAAACCCCCTTCCAAAACCTTTGCCTACCCAACTATAAAATCCCCGTCGCCTTCGGCGGCAGTGTCTCCCTATTATTACTTTTACCTTTTTAATTTATTGATATCTCTTATCAGAGAATTTATAAAGGATAACTTAAATTAATCTATCTCTACTACCAACTATCGATACTTTATGAATATAAATAATTTATTTTTTAGATAATAAATTCAATTAAAACCTCCATTATTTACAATCAGTGGCGTAGCTACGGGGGTGGTTTTCGGGTTTGGACCCCTCCCAGAGCAAATTTTTTTTTGAGATTATACGTTCAAAAGACTTAAAAGTGATTTTATATGAATTATATTTTTCTGGTTTTGATGTTTGTGGAAGGATATTATATTACTATTGAAATTATTCTGGATAGTATTATTATAAAATCATTGAGAATAATCTACTAAATTATAATAACATATTATTGATGCATTTAAAAAATATATTTAATATATATTATAGAAGATATGGTTATGATTTGTAAGATAAACCCGGCCGAAGGCCGAGCAAAAGGGCCGAAGGCCCGTTAAAGGGGGTCTGGGGGGCGAAGCCCCTCAGCTTTTATATGTATGGACCCCCTCTAAGGAAAATTTCTAGCTACGTCACTGTTTACAATGATTTAATTATTATGGCATTATGAGCTTGCTGAATCTAAATTTAAATTACATTTAAAAGGATAGCAGAAAGTTTCATTTGGAAAACAATGTGCATGATTGTTTGCAATATATAGATTTGGTCGATGAATTGTATTATAATATTCTATGATAAAAATTTTAATTTTTACAGCAATAAATTTTGTCCTATTTCATTTCAAAATTTAATAGATAACCCCCTAAAAAATTTTACACGCATTAAAGCAGCCTACCCCCTACCCCCCTAAAAAATAGGATGCAAACTGTTCCTACCTCTCCCACTCATGTAGACGCTGAAATAGTCACATTCTACATCCAGATCCTATAAAAAAAATCCTTGTAAAAAATAAGGATATTTGATTGTTTTCAAATCACAAATTTCTTTCTATTCAAAATTAATATAGATATTCAACTGATTTTTTTTTTAAAAAAAATATAAATCCTTTTTAAATGGGAATTTATTAGAAAGAATGGAAAAATTGGTATAGCGACATTTTTTCAAATGAAAATAGATGGCGGACAGTTTGAGCCTCTATCGGCCAAATCTCAAGGCTTCATAATATTATTTTAGCTAAAATTTTAATCGGGCCGTTTTTAAAAATTAACCTAAATTGGGCAGCACGAGCCCTCATAATGCGAGTGTCTGTTCGAAAACAACGGCTAACCTTGTATTTAAACCATAATTCCAGCTCTAAGAAATATTATCGAAAAGCCGATTACAACTATATATTATAGTTTATTATCTATTTATTTATATACCGAGGGAATATAAAATAAATATAAAAAGATAACCACCATTAAGAAACATGAAATCGTGTTCTCTAAACTAATCACTGCCAATTCAATTCTTTAATGACAGTATAAAATGTCTTCTTTATTTTCGATGATTTAAAATCCTAGATATGCGATATTCAATTATTTTTAATTCAAGAAAAATATTTAAAAACCAAGCAAAAATTGAAGAATCACTTCCTATTATATCACAATATTTTGTTAAAGATAATAAAAAGGTTAAATCGGATTTATTAGATTTGGAGAACAAATTGCAAAGAATTAATTATCCATACAGTTCAAACAATCAAAACAAAATACAAAACTATTCTAATACAAATATAAAATCTTATAGCCAAAATTCAATTTACAATTCATTGATATTAGATCATTTAAAAAATATTCAATTTGAAAATTTATCGGAAAGAGAAATATCAAAACTTTTGATATACAAACGCAAGCTAATTGAAGCTGACCTAAACTTATATTTTGGATTGCCTGATGCCAAAGTTAAAATTTCAAGTGTGCCCTGTTATGGATGTGGTGCCTTTTTGCAATGTAAGGATGACACTTTGGCTGGATATGTGCCTAGTAATCTTTTTAAATCTAAAACTAATTTAGGAGATATTTTATGCCAAAGGTAATTATATTTTTTAAAAGAATAAACATCAAAATATTTTAGATGTAGTTTGCTGACACATTTTAATTATCCAATTAATGTAAGGGTTGATCATGAAAAATATTCAAAGACTTTGCATCACATTAAAAATGAAGATGGATTAGTACTTTTATTATTAGATATATTTGATATTAATCATTCAATAAAACATGGTTTTGATAAATTAATCTTAATTTTATTTCATAAATTTATTTAGATATATTGGAGATCATAGGACAAAATAAATATTTTTATATTATCGGTAATAAAATAGATCTTTTGCCAAAAGATTCATCAAATTGGCTAAGAAGAGTTAAAACAATTTTAAAAAAGGAAGTCTTGAATACTTTAAGTAATTAAGAAAATATTTTAACAAATCAAACTCACATTAAATATAATATACATTATGAAATAAAAGATTTAGATGTGGAAAAATTAATGGGAATTTCTTTGATTAGTGCCAAATCTGGTTATGGAGTTGAAAATCTAATTACAAAATTACAAACTTTATATAACATTAATGGTAATACAATTTATAATTATATAACACAATTAATGATTTGTTATTTTTTACTTAAATAATTAAGAATGATAGTAAGAATAATTTAATTATCTCAAATATTTATATCACTGTAATTTATTTACTTTTATAGCACAATCTTAACGATAATAATTTTTTAAATATCAGGAAATGTATACTTAATTGGCTGTGCAAATGTTGGAAAATCTACATTATTTAACACCCTTTTACATTCAGATTATAGTAGAGGTCATGCTAATGAAATAATTAATAGAGCCACTACTTCAACTTGGCCTGGTATGATTATTATGATAATGAAATCTATGTAATAATTTTTATGATATTGAGATATTCATTACTTGTATTTAAGTTATATTAAGATTTATTTAAGCAATCACCCTCTTATGGTGCAAATTCTGCATAAGCTCTGATAGAAACAAATAACAATATTTTAGGGCTAAGTAATCACTCACACCTAAGGCAGGGCAGCCTTTGGTATGGGATTGCAAGTTACACTTGTATAGAAACATCTACCAAATCAAATGCCTTATACATACCATTGATACAGCTCAGACTTCAAAACACATATGCTGCTTTGAAAAATTACAATTCTTGCCATTGGTTACAATGAAAGTTTCCAGTTACACATATTTTTAAAAAGATTTTGGCTGTTAAAATTTTGAAATATGGGTTCTGGACCTTAATATTAATGCAGTTCTAATGATTATATGTTCCATCCAAACTGTTAAACTCAAATTTTTTTTAAACCAAAATGAAGTAGAAAATTTTATACAAAAATTTATTATTATTTTTAGGCCCAATATTGCCCAAATTTTTAAAATCATGCCACAACCCTGGGTTTTGGCTTACAGCTCTTTTATAGAGATTTGGGATGCCTTAATGATAGTAAGTAACCCTCTTATCTCATCAAAATGTTTGCAGGAAAATTTATCAATAGACATAGGCAAAACTTAAATGTTATATTTTTCAAATTATTAAGATAATTTTTCAACATTTGATGTAGAAGCTGTAGCTTGTCCTTCATAATATTACATAAAAATCTTTAAATATCAAAAAATTTCATCATTATCAGCTATATAGTGTTGTTATTTAGGCCAATTCATAAAAATAACTCAATATATATCCAGAAAAAATATTACGCAAGCTTAATGATTTTGTTTGTAGATGACCCAATGATTTAGGACATCTATTAAAATCTGGAGGTGTAGGCAATATTTTTCTGGCAAAAATATTGAGTTTATTGTTTTTAAAAATCTGCTCAAACAAGCCATTTAACAACACTACATCATATCTTATTCTATTTTATTAATATTTAACAAGGTATTTTTGATTGATTTATAATTTATAGGGACTACTTTGAACATGCTAAATTTTCCCCTCAACAAACCTTCTACATGGAAGTTAGCTGCGAGAAATCGAAGACTGAATTATATTTCAAAATTTAAAAAATATATTCAATCAGGAATTTATGAACCGAATTCTCAATTTTCTCAAACAAATGTGAACCCGTATTATGACAAATTAATATGTATAATAAAATAATCAATTTTCTTGACCATTTATATTTTAGCAGAGGCTTTAACAGTGTCCAAATCTTACGATTCTTCTCCCAGCATTGAAACAGAACTAGATTCATTAGTGCCAAGTGATATAGCTTCTTTGATAAACAGTTCAGCTAGATCTATCAAAAAGTATTCGAAAGAACCAAATTCAGATAATAATATAGACCCAAAAAACACCATTTCTAATCTATCTTCTGATCACCGGCTTATCAGATACAGAAATCAACATTTGGAAAAGATATCAAATCTCAAACATAGTAGCACAACAATGCGCCAGAATTATATGAGAGCAGGAAAGCGATTGTATGACACACCAGGCTTAGTTAACAATGATCAAGTATGTTTTTCACTTCTTTATATTACTTGGGCGCCTTAAAATAATTTTGGACTCTAGTAAGAGATTGATTTTTACAATTTCTGTTAACCTTAATCATCAGGACGATAATAAAAAAATTAGTAGTGCGATTATTTTAGACTTAATTCATTACAATTTATCAATAACATAAGGCAAAAGCATGTTAAAATTGTTTTTAGAAACCGGATATTAATAAAATAGAACCATATGTCCCCAATCTTCTCAAGTTTACCTGGTTCTAATCACTTTTCTCCACTTTTTACGATCACTGGCATCGCTATTAGACCCATCATTCTCATTCGTTATTATCTTCATCTGCATCATCTTTGGAAATGCACCTCTTCACCCAATTATCTTTGGTAACGTGCCCAAACCACCTCAGTCTATTTCTTATCATCACTCCAGTCGTTTTCTATTCCAATCCTTTCTCTCAACTCGTTACCTGTTTTTCTTTCTTTCAGAGATTTCCCACATATTCATGTCATCTACGTTCATGCCCAAGTTTTGCCATCGTCGATGCTCTTCTCATACAGCCTACAGACTCCTTTCAATTTCGGAGTTATAAACTATGTTTTTATTTGTTAAAATAGATGACATCTCTTTCTTCCATGCATACTCTTGCTACATCACCACCTCCACCTTCGATCACACCCAAATTACATAAATTTATCACTTTTTTTCATAGTTCTAAGCATAAAAAAGAAAATTAAGTTGGGAATCTCTATTCATATAATTGGCAAAAATTAATATCCAAGTTTGAACAAAAAAAAATAAATTGGAAGGTTTTCTAATATGTGTCTTTTCACATTTAAAAAATATCTTATTTAGTCAGAGGATAGTATAAATAAAAATTTCCTAGCGGAGAATTTAATAGAGATCTAGAAATGAATAAGTGAGTCAAGGAATTTATAGATTGATTTAAAGGATGAACTTAAAGAAAGGATTCCCTTAATTCCCACATGTGAATTAAGAACCAAGGTTTAGATATTCCTATTTGGCATGGGAAAGTACACATTCCTTCTTTACACCCCCCCCCCCCCTAATTTGAAACTTTTTATTTAAAATTTATTAACTATCTTCATTAATTTATGCCATCACAATGTATGTAACTTATTCATTATTCCTAGAAGAAAAATAGTTTTAGTTAGGGGAAAAGTACATATTCCTTCTTTACACCCCCCTCCCTCCCCTCCCACTATACCATCACAATTAGGCCTACAAAAAACGAATCGAATAATTGCGCTATTCGTATTCGTACGAATAATTTAAATCATTATTCGTTTCGATTCGAAAATTTTTATAAAGCTTATAAATAATATATAATTTTTTTGCAAAAAAATTATAAACAGATATAATGTTTTAAGATGACATTTTTAAGGATTCTCTCAACAACAATTTACAGAAAATAAACGAAATAAAACCAAATGATTTCATATAACGTTATCCAAACAAATTGGCAAAAAACGTCCGATTTATAGAATTGCTTATAAAAAATATTTAATATTTTTTCAATCTAATATACAAATTTTATTAAAATATTCTGAAAATATACAATAATTTCATTTTATAAACATCAAAATATAATACACAAAAAATATAATTATAGTATATCTGAATTTGTTAATAACCAATTTTTTAAACATAACGTCTTTCTTATAGTATCCTCTTTCAGAGACATCATATTCTTAAGTTCCTGGCAGATAAATAACTAAATTTTGACTAGTTCTTATTCTTTGATTAGGAAAATTCTTTTCCCATTTAGTAACCTTATTTTTTATCAAATTTTAAAGTAAATCATCTAATTCAGATAGTGTATCATAATCACTATCATAAAATCTTCATCACTATTAATTACATTGCCATAATCACTAACAATAATATTTTGAAGTTTTAATTGCAGTGGCTTAGCTAGGAATCTTAACACCAAAAATGATTAAATAAAGAGAAAGTATCAAAATAAAATAATTATATTTTTGTTTACTTTGGGTTTGGGGCTTTTCCTTTTCTTCCATTAAAATTTGACAGCAATTAATATAAGTTATGGATTTGATAAAGATAATAGGAAATAAAATAAAATGAAATAATATCCACTATAATTACTTCTTTTTTTTTATTATACTTACAACAATTTACAAATACAAATAAAATATTTGCGAAAAATTACGAATATTTATATATAAATAGTTTCGAATAATACGAATAATTTTCCTTATTATTCATATTCGGCTATTCGTATTCGTAAAATACGAATCGAATCGAATTTCGAATAACAAATAATTCGTTTTAGGCCTAATCACAATATATGTAACTTATTCATGATTGTACTAAAATTTATTTAATTGTGAAAAAAAATTTTTTTTTAAAGAAAATATCTTGTTTATCATGAACTATTTTAGATTTTGAATTTATTAACTTTTGACGAAATTATTCACGTGATACCAAAAGTAACCGTAAATCCTCGTACTTGCATTCTTACCCCTGGCATGTCGTTATTGGTTGCGGGTCTCGCTCGGATTGATTATTTACAAGTTACATTCTTTTTTTTCTAAGGAAATTTAAAGTTAATTAATTTTATTTTTTAGGGGCAGGAATCCATATTTTTAACAATGTTTGTTTCTCAAGATCTTCCTTTAAATGTTGTCGAAACTTCCAAGGCCGAGACATTTTATGCCGAAAATTTGAGAAATTTTAGTCTCAAGGTAAAATTTTAAATATATTGAACATTAGAGATCTGTAAAAGTAGGCCTGGCCCAAACCCGGCCCGAACGGGCTTCGGGCCGGGCCTAATATTTTTTAAGAAAATCCGGGCCGGGTCAGGCCTTAAAATTTTTTTAAAATATATCTAAATTTATCAATTTTATGTTGAATTTTTTTTGTAAAATAAAAATATGTGATTTTATTTATAGAAAGTAGACGCCATATAACATATATCGTTTATTTTGAGTAATTATAAAAATTAATTTCTATATTTAAATAAATTCGGGCCAGGAAAACTTTATAAAAAAAAATTTCGGGCAGGGCCGGGCTTGAAAAATTAGACCCGATGCAGATCACTATTTAACATGTAAATAGTACATATTAATCATTAAAAAAATTTTTTTTAAATAGGTACCTACAGGTTCTAATGAACGACTGTTGGAATTCCCTCCGTTAACCTCGAAAGATTTTGAGATTAATGGCGATGATAAATGGAAAAGCTCTGCCGATATTTTATTATCATCACTCGGTAAACAAAAGCAATATCTTTGATCAGTTTATTTTAAAAAAAATAAATTGTCTTAAAATTATTGTGAGTCGAATTATCTTTCCACTTTAATCAGAGATGCACATACACCTTTACTCGTTAGAAGTGCTCTCAGCTGAAATCGACAATTTACTATTTAAAAATAATTATTTATTATGAATATTTTTATACAAATTATTTTTCGAAAGATGACATATTTGACGAGGTAAATCATAAGATAACAATTGATTAATTTAATTTTGAGTTTGTTTAATTTATATAATTTTTTTTTACAATAATAAGTTCTATTGATGTCAATCTTTTGACATGGGGTAAAAGAGGTAAGTTATTGGCCTCGGTATCGATGCATCTTTACATTTTATTAATACCCGATTTTACCTTTCATTTTATATTTTATGCAATAAAAAAAAATTCTTTTATTTCTTTCAAATTACTATTACCAGGCTGGGCTTCATTTACCACGGATCAAAATAACATGGCTACGATAAGGGCCTATACCCCAGCAGGCAAAGGATTGGGTCTAAGAAAACCGGCTCTTTTACCATTCGCCGTTAATAAACGGGGCGGGTTGAGTAAAGTACCGAATGTATATCACACGCTTCCTTTCGAAAAATGGACCACTTAATATTCCAAAAATGCCCGTTATACCATGTATTCGTATTGCTATATGGAAGTATCTTTGGCGATTACGCCTTCATTGAATTATATTAATATAATATATTTTTTTAAAAAAATACACATAAATATTTATAATTGTGAAATGTAAATATGCCACGAAAAATATTTTGATATGATGTTTTTTTTATTATTCTATATAAATTTTCATATTAAATAATAACTTGCTCACAGATTAATAATTTATATTAATATATTTAGATTAAATCGCGGTTGCAAGGGTAAAGTTTTTTTAAAATAAAAATTGGGTTGGGCGAAGTCAAATTCAATTTGTAATAGATTAATTTTGGTAATTGAATTGCTAAACCCGACCTCCAGTTTCAATTTTGGACATTTTTTTAAAACAAAATCAGTCTTCAATATTTTATTTATATTGCATTTTAAGTATAAATTCTTTTTAAACACGTTCAACTGCATAATTTCAGTTTTTTTTAAATTAAGTTTTCTATTCGTTAAATGAACAGAATAATTTAATATTCGTACTCACATTAATAATATAATTTTCTTACGAAAAATTCGAAAATTTAAAATAAGCCTATTCGATTCGAAAAATTCTTTTATATACATTTTATAAAATACGGAAATATATTGAGATGATTATTATAGACAGGAAAAAAATTATTATAATAATAATCTGATGATAAAGAACATGTGATCATATTAGCAAAATTAAAATCCATATTATTAATTTATAATGCCAAGCCAATTTTTAAGGCAGAATTTTCTTATTGTATCTTTTTTTAATAAGTCATACTATATTTTGACTATATATTAGTTCCAAGTCCAACTAAGAAAAGTCTTTTGTAAGCAGTTGATGTAAAATCAATAGAAATTATAAATTAAATTTTATTAAAAAGCACATTAATAATTAGTCATATTAATTAGATCTGGATCTTATTCGAATAGTTCAATTCGACTAATGAATTTTTTGTTTTATTCGAATCGTAATTTTTTATTCGTTTTCCGTTTTCAAACAAAACAGAGTTTACTAATATTCAAAACAAACGCATATTCGTTTTTGAATAGGAGGTGATATGAAAATAATATATGGGTTCGCCAATATTTATTGGCTTATACTATTTATCATTTATTAATTCCTCACCAAACCAGTTTTTGTGTTACTAAACAACGATCCTTTGAAAATAAACCTAAGCTCGTCCAAGAGTTTGATGTCATAAGAACTGGAAATCAAATCAGCTTTTTGTAGCTCAGCCGGAATATATATTAAGTAGTTTTGTTAAACAGCCGATTTGAGGGTCCATGAAATAAAATAGAGTTTATGATATTTTAAGATTTATGACTATTTATCGAGGCGGGATTTTTTAATTTTTCACCGGGTCAGAAATTCATTTAACGGGATCGCGTGTAGCAGTTATATTAATCAAACTGGAAAGGATTTTAAATTGAATGGGAAGTATAAAAACACTAAAAATAATAAATTTACGATTAAAAAGTTTTAATGGAAAATTTCGAACGTATTTCATAATTTTATAAAATTACAATAGTTTTGAAATTTTGAGGTTTTAAAATACATTTGGGTAATAGTCTAATTAATTAATCTTATTTAACTATCACATTCCAAAAGGCCATAAGTCTAATTGACTTCTTTTTATTCTACGGCCGCTAAATTTAAAAGTAACCAGTCTACATTCCTGAAGACTTGCTGTCGTGCCAGCTCGTTAAATGTTTTTCAAGGTCTGGCCAATTAAAGGTCAGCGAAATGGTGAGGCTTGCCCCGTTAAATTTTACAAAAAAATCAGTCCAAACTCGTTAAATATTTTTGTGCGAATTTCCGGGAATCACATTTTTAATATCTATATTTATTCTCAAACCATTTTATAAATCGATTGTATTATACTTGTACCCATGTAGTTGTATTAAGTTCAATAATTATTTTTTAATATATCAATATTTTTTTGAAATTGTAGGAAAAATCAGAGATTTGCGAAGGAAAATATTTTAATTGCCCAACCCGTTATAAACTTTTAAAAGATTTTCCCGGACCAATTAAATATTTTCCCTCGGGCTGGGCTTTGCAGATTTCTATGTTATTAAGAATTTTAAGTGAAAAAACATAACAAATTTTTATTATTGCTTTTCGTCCTATCTTGATGCCAATTATTAAAATTACCTTATTTGGTTAATCAGTGGGATATACGGGTGGGGAGGTTGAAACTCTCCTCTACAAGTGGCAAATATGAAAAGGTAAAATTTTGTTTTCCTTGTTACTTTTATTGCGATTTAACAACTTTTCTAAATACTAATCTTATGAACGAGTCACTTTTATATACTAATCTATCTAAAATTTCAATATCAACTGAGCTTTAGACAAAATTATTAGTGTAAAATAATCATAAAATATTGATGTTATAAAATTTTATTATATATATCATAGCAGCATAATGGTTGAGAGATGCATCCGACAGATGCCTTTTTTTACAGTGTCCATAGATTGTTGTGCAAAAGGGCTAAACTTGCAAATACAAATCGATTTTTTCTTTCTTCCAATGGTGGTTTTCCTAGAATATTTCAGATATTACCATATATAGTAGTGATCTGCATCGGGCCTAATTTTTCAAGCCCGCGAAAAAAAATTATATGTCCGCCCGAATTTATTTAATAGAAAATTTTTTGATTGTAAAAATATATCATACAAATTAAAAATATTAGCGCCTTGTTTCTTTAAAGATATATCAATTTATTTGGCAAAATTAGGAAATAAATCTTACCCAGGATTTGCAGACCTCTAGTAAATAGGGACTCGAAATTATAAAAAAATACTTAGTTTCGTTTTATTTATATTCGGAAAATAAAAAAATTGCCTAAAAATATACACATTTGAATATTTGCTAAATATGCTTTGTAATATTTATGAATGTGTACTAATTCCAGGGTTAATAAAAATTCTTTATACCCGTAGTTTTTAAGAAATATGGGTTTAGATTTCGGAATTAGTGATTCCATAACTATACAAGACTGTATAGAGGTATGCTAACCCGCCCATTCTACGGGTGGGTTCAACATTTGGCAGATTAAAATTCATAATGGGGGAATTTAAAATAAATATTTTTTAAAAAATTCGAATTATTTTAAAACTTTAATAAAATCGTAAAATATAACCATGTTCGAGAGTAAGAAAGACTCGTCAAAAATCTTATAGGTGAATCCTGGCTGGAGACAAAAAATCTTTTAGATAAATCCCGAATACGCCATCGAACCTTATAGGAAAACTTTATTCTAATCTATCATAATTTACAAAGTAGTGATAAACTTATACATAGTGTTGTTAAAACGCCGCGAGTCGCGACCCCGACCCAAAGCTCGGGTCGTTTTATTCGACTCCGACTCAATGTTTGGGTCGTTTTTTTCGACTTCGACCCGAGTTCAAGCCGAAAAAAACGACTTCGACCCAAAATATGGGTCGTTTTTTTCGACTCCGACCCAAGTCCAAGCCGAAAAAAACGACCTCGACCCAAAATATGGGTCGTTTTTTACGACTCCGACTCAAAATTTGGGTCGTATTTTTCGACTCAAACTTGAAATTTGGGTCGTATTTTTCGACTTAAACTTGAAGTTTGGGTCATATTTTTCGACTCAAACTTGAATTGAAGTTTGGGTCGTATTTTTCGACTAAAACTTGAAGTTTGGGTCGTATTTTTCGACTCAAACTTGAAGTTTGGGTCGTATTTTTCGACTCAAACTTGAAGTTTGGGTCGTATTTTTCGACTCCAACTCAAAGTTTGGGTCGTTTTTCTGACTCAGACTCAAACATCGGGTCGTTTTATTCAATTCGACCCAAAATATGGATCTTTCTTTTTAAAGACGACTTAAAGTTAGGGTTGCTTTTTTTCACCCCTAACCCAATATCTAGATCATTTTTTTCGACCAAAAGTCAAATAACATTTAGTATATATTAATATTATAGGCGGGAAAGTTACTTAAAGCTTCTTTAAATTATAATGCTCTGATTAACTATTCATCATAGTTATATTTTAAAATTTTTAAGTGATGTACCATAGAAAAGTGCCATTTGTCATGATAATTATTTTTGAACTTTTTTAAATGAAATAGATAAAAATATATATTGTAGACATGTTAAATCAAAATTTCAGTGATGATGTTCCATAGATAAGTGGTAATTGTCATAATCGCTATTTTTGAATTTGAACTTTTTGAGTTTTTTTAAAGCAAATTGCTAAAAATATATATTCTAAACATGTTAAAATTAAAAATTCAGTGAGGATGTATCATAGATAGGTGATAATTGTCATAATCGCTATTTTTGAACTTTTTTCAATTTTTTTAAAGGAAATAGCAAAAAATATATATTCTAACCATGTTAAATTAAAAATTCAGTGAGGATGTATCATAGATATGTGACAATTGTCATAATCGCTATTTTTGAACTTTTTTGAGTTTTTTTAAAGCAAATTGCTAAAAATATATATTTTAAACATGTTAAATTAAAAATTCAGTGAGGATGTATCATAGATAGGTGACAATTGTCATAATCGCTATTTTTGAACTTTTTTCAATTTTTTTAAAGGAAATAGCAAAAAATATATATTCTAACCATGTTAAATTAAAAATTCAGTGAGGATGTATCATAGATATGTGACAATTGTCATAATCGCTATTTTTGAACTTTTTCAAATTTTTTTAAAGGAAACATCTTAAAATATATATTCTAAACATGTTAAATTTAAAATTCAGTGAGGATGTATCATCATATATAGGTAACAATTGTCATAATCGCTATTTTTGAACTTTTTCAAATTTTTTTAAAGGAAATATCTAAAAATATATATTCTAAACATGTTAAATTAAAAATTCAGTGAGGATGTATCATAGATAGGTGACAATTGTCATAATCGCTATTTTTGAACTTTTTCAAATTTTTTTAAAGGAAATAGCTAAAAATATATATTGTAAAGATGTTAAAATAAAATTTCAGTGAAGATGTACCATAGAAAAGTGACAATTGTCATAATCGCTATTTTTGAACTTTTTTCAAATATTTTAAAGGAAATAGCAAAAAATATATATTCTAAAAATGTTAAATTAAAAATTCAGTGAGGATGTATCATAGATATGTGACAATTGTCATAATCGCTATTTTTGAACTTTTTCAAATTTTTTTAAAACAAACATCTTAAAATATATATTCTAAACATATTAAATTTATT